CTTTAAACTGTATCTCCTTTTGTTTATCTTTCTGTTTATGGAAAAGAGATAGATAAATATAAATCCTCCTACCTCACATACTTACTGTTTATTTTTTCTCCTTAGTCATATTGAGAAAAGATCCTTTGTTTTCAGATTTTTATACAGTGCAGATGAGGTAGCAGCAAGTGACATACTAAAGGGGTGTGTGTGTGTGTGTGTGTGTGTGTGTGTGTGTGTGTGTGTAGATGGGTGCATTTGGCAATTAGCCTGAAAATCTGGAAATCCTAACTCATGTTTGGACAAGCCATTTTAAAAATGCTTGCTCTCCAATTACAATATGTATCAAAACTGGGAAAACCGTCTAAAGAGGAAAGGAATCATGAAAATATAAATGCTACAGAAGATTGCTTGTCTATACTAAAATGCAGATCATTGCTTTTAAATAGAACAGGAAAGGATAATGATTATTTAAAAGGTAATGTCAAATAAATGGGCACAAATGTATAATTTACAACTCCAGCATGGAAGGACAATTTGGAGTTTTCCTAGTAACAGGAGCTCTGTTAAACAGTGAAGGGTGCATCGGTGCTGAGGCCTCTGCTCTCTCTGCTCGCCTCTGATCTCACTGAATTCCTACCCTTTCAGACACACTGTACACGTGATGTTAACTTAAACGGTACCAAGGGGGGAAAAATGCACATGCTGTGAGTGGAGAAAACCTCAAGTTCTTCCTCTTTTTATGAGCTGCCAAATCTCGCTGCTGGTGTTTACATTAACAGAGGAATGTGATATTAATATTTGGCTCACTCTGCAGAAAAATGCATTTAAATGGAGGCAGTTTCAGCACGCAGGCTCCAGAGCAAGATCCGTCTCTCTGGGTCTTAAGCACGTGCGCGTGCGCGCACACACGCACACACACACAGAGTCATGAAGAATGTTTTCCAGTTCCCATGGCTAGGAACCCTCAATTAAATGTGAAGCTTAACACATGGCCAGCAGAAGGAGAGGATCCAGCAGCACGACAATGTTTACAGCTCCAGGGGATGCCCGGTGTGCCGGAGAGCTCTGTGAAGCCCGCTGGAGATGGAAGTCCCACGCCGACAGCTGCAGCATCAAAGAATCCTGGTGACCTAGATTCAGCTATAGACCAGGACTGCTCTGGCCTGCGTGGCTACCACTGGGCCAGCAGCCTGCTTGCAGTTTCACGAGTTGCCTGGCAAACAGTGCTGACCCATTTCACCATGACAACCTGGGCTGCTCGGCTCAACCTGCGCACAGGGAAACGCTCACTGCTGGCATTTTAAAGATTTCAAAATGAAGTTGATTCGGAGTTTCTGAAAAACACATTTAGAAACCCCAAAGAAAGCTGACATTTTTTGACAGGGGTAGAAGAGATGGAGAAGAGAAATGTGAGAAAGTCACTGTCAGTCTTTTCCACGTTCAAATCTAGCAGCAAACTATTCATCTGTTTTACTCAGCAAGTAGTACCGTAACAATTATGTTCCCAACCAGTGAACTGATAAACAGAGAATAAGTAGGTGACAAGGCTTAGGGATTACCTTCCATAGCTATATGTATTCTGGTCTATTAAAACAGACTATATATGATCAAATAATGTTAAATCTCCTGATAAATAAATGGAAGTGTTTAAATGTGGATTTATTACAGCTTTTGCTCAACCTTGAGCTGTCCAGAATTGAGTTTCACTGGATAACTAAAATAGTATGCCCCTTGGAGAGAGAAAATGAGTCTGTGCTTTGGTAAAGGAATTCCATTTAGTAAGTGCAATTTAGGAAAATCTGGGCCTGGTATGCTCATGTGATCCCATTAAAATGCAACCTCTGCTTTTTTGACAAAACCATAGCACAGAATTGAAAGCATGTGCAGGTCTTTATATTGAAATCCATGCAGCGTTCTCAGCACCACTTTTGTGGTGGTTGTTAAGTTAGCTCAGGAGATTAAACTTTAGAACTTTCTGAGTGATCCTCTCTATTTTCTGTGTGGAGGGAACAGCATCAAAACAGGCCAAAGAACTGTTTCAGGTGATGCAGAGTCTGTTACCAGTGACAGGTCCCATCCTTGTGCTCTGAGGGTCTTTACTTAAGGAGGATGGAGTCACATAGAATCTTTATTATCTCTGTCTCTCTTTTTTTTAAATGAAGGTACTGGGGGTTGAACCTAGGACCTGGTGCATGCTAAGCATGTGCTCTATCACTGAGCTATACCCTCCCCGCCTTTACTTTCCAAGTAGCAAAAGAAGAAGAGTGACCATAGCTTGATGTGATAGAGTCAATCTAATGCAATTTAAGGAAACCTGGAATTAAAACTATAGCATATCTTCGTAAAATAAAAGAGCCATTCACTCCCTTTGTAACAGAGATGTTAAGAACTTTTCTTTTCTTCATTCTTTCTTGCTCAACATTTTCCTTCACAGCCTCAAAAGGTTTCCTTTTCTCCTGCAAGGGCTCAGTCTTCTTTCCAAATCCTTCCTGTCTCAAAGTCCTCCATGAGCGATCTCTATCCTGTGTGAAAGAATTGACTTCCTGTCGGAGAGCCATCTAACTATATTTGCACCCCTGGGCTCCTGCCACTCCTCATCCCAAGGTCGGCTGTCAGCCAAGGTTTTATTAGGTTAACTAAGCATTCACTACATGGCTGCCAACTAGATCAGGAATTAGAAAACAAATGCCATTTGTAGACCTTAGTAGCTATGGAATCAATCATTCAATTTTCAAGGACAATTAAAGATGAAAATTAATTATCCAACACACCAGAAAGATAATAATAGTCATTCATGGCCAAAAATAGAGTTATAAATGGGATAACCATACATTCTAGCTTGTCTGTCTTCCTGTCATCCTGATATAATTATAAATGGGGCCCCCTTTTGTATCCTCATTTGAATGATAAATTACATGGTCTTCCCAATAATAATAATTTCAGTGCTTGAAAAATCTTTCCTCAGTGTCTTTCCATAATTTAGTTTGCTGCCTGTAACTATGGTTTTATCAGGAATAGGGTTATCTTCTTTTTAAACTGAAGTATAGTCAGTTTACAATGTTGTGTCAGTTTCTGGTGTACAGCATAATGTTTCAGTCATACATATACATGCATCTATTTGTTTTCATATTCTTTTTCATTATAAGTTACTACAAGATGTTGAATATAGTTCCCTGTGCTATACAAAAGAAACCACCTTAAGTTCTCAGATCTTCCACCAGCACCTATCTACAAATAATTGAGAAGAATTTGAAAAGTTTGTTCTTTGGACTTATTTGCAATCTTAAAAGAAGCAAAGACTTGAAAGATAAGGAGGAAGCTTCCTTTGTGGAATTTTGGCATTCACCCTTAAAATCATACCACTCAGCCAGCCTCTCACTTACATTTATACATAAGTCATCAAAGTCAGTGAAGCCAACAGACAGGTGATCAGCAGGACTCCCCAGTGTAAATGAGCTGAAACACAAGGTGGAAAACAGTCTGCTAGTTTCAAATGCTTTTCATTCCTTGGGCTATGAAGCTATGTTATATGTTTCTGAAAATGGCATTTATGGGAAAGCACATGTAGATCCAGAAACATGTCTATCATTTCATACTTGGAAGACAGGACATATCTGAGATTAGTGTAATGCCAGGACTTTTGATATAAAAGAACAATGTATGCATACCATATTTAAGTCACTTCACTTCATCAAAGGGGCATATAACTAGCAATCTGATTGTATGGTGGTTACTTTTTATTGTGTGAGAGAAAAGGCTTTATAATGTCAATGCATTCTGGTGGATTATTTCCCATAGAAAAAATTCAAAATATAGGGTAGGGTAATCCAAGGTTATTCAAAATCCCTCTAATATTTGTGATATTGTCTCACTTCCACTCTTTTCAGTCATTGATTTATTAACCTTTATGGTTTTCCTTGCCAAGGTATTTAAGGGCTAGTGAAAACATTATCTTTGCAAATGCTTTCAGACACAGTGTTAAAGGAATTAATTATCCAAACGTGCACTATCTTGTGGACTGAATCATCATTGCAAATTGACCATGCTTTAACTATGAGGTATTTGATGATGCAAATGACCAGTCCATTTCTGAAATACTGGAGCATCCATCAATGGCAAAGATTCATTTGCCTTGACCTGAAAAAGCATGGTGTTAGGTTGAGAGTATTTAGTCCTAAGTCAGGGAGGAGCCTTGTGACCATCTGGTCCTAGCATCATCTTCCCCTTGGAACTTTCATAAGAAATGGCTTGTAGCATGATTTGTTCACAGTCTATGTTAGTTATCTTGTTGACAGATAGAATTACTTTCCATTCTTTTTCAAAATTATGGTCCTTCCTCTGTTTTTTCTTATAGCTCTATTCTTATTTTTGTTGATTTTATCAGTTCATTCACTCAGTGAATATCCAATCAATATCATCTTTCTTCTTCCACAAGACACTGTGTCAGATACTGTGCCACGCAAGGTCTGACTTCTACTTCCCACTGGGTTGCATCTGGTGGGAGGGCTAACACTTTCATATGTAATATTCCTGGCAGTGATGATAGGCCATATGTATGTTGAAGACTGTGTGCTCCAGAATCTGAAATAGAAGGGGTTCCAGCTGTAGTGGAAATGATATTTGGAGCTAATGTGTAGACTTCCTTTTGATAGAGACTGGAGGGCAGTGCTGGACTAAGAATCTGCAGCATAAGCAGCAACGTGGACACCAGCAGGTCCCTGATACCTGTGATCAGAAAAGAGTCCAAAATAGATTGTGTTTAGAGTTCACCCTTGAGGCACAGTAGGGCTGGAGACTGGAAGAAAAGTTGGGAGCCAGATTTTAAGGCTAAGTGGTTTGGTCTTAATTCTAGGCAGTGAAGGGACAGTCAGATTTTAAGTCTGAGCTGGGTCACTTCGCTGTGCTTTAGGAAAATGACTGAGGGCAATCTGCAGGATGAACCACAGGAGGGAAGAAGGTCACTTGGGAAATTGTTGCAACACTCAAGGTGTGGCATGGTAAGAGTTGGATACGAGGTGGCAGCAATATGAATAAAAGGGAGAGAAGATATGTAATGTGGGAGCGCCATTTTATTTCTCCAGAGAACTGACTTTGTGTTGACCAGTGAAGCGATAAAATCAGTTATGCTTCTCCTAAACCTTCAGCAAATGTGCAACTTACTTTGCCCATGATTTACTTATGAAGTGGATTCAGTCAGTGATTTAAAAGACATGCATCAAATTATGGGTAATGATTATCATCTTAAGTCTAATATGCCTCCTTTCCCGACCCTCCACTCCCCACACTCTGCAAGTGCAGGGGGACTTACGGACATACCTGTTCAACCCTCGCCCCTCCCTCTGAGACTGGTGAAACATATCTGTTCTGAAGATGGGGAAACTGTAGCACAGAAACTAGTATACAAGGTGGCACAAGAGCAATGTTCCCATTACACCAATTTTCTTTAGCAAGAGACAGGTCAGGATGGCTTTAGGTGGCAGTTACTTCACAGTGAAATGATTTGACCAGGCCAGACTTTTGATGAAACAGACTACTGGGGGATAATTACAGTTGAGCCTGTGTGAAGGACCAGGGCTTGTCCTCTAACAAGGAACCGTCCTTAATTGCTGAAGCTGGCATGGATAATTTAGGAAATTTAGGACAATGACATTGGATTGTTGTCCTGAATTATCTGGAATAACTTTTGTCTTCTTGGTCAAATTTATAAAAAAAGAAGAAAAAATGACTTGTTAATACTTGGCTGTGTGTTGAATATGTCCTAATCTACAAGCTGCCTGCATGGGACTATCTATTTAAGGAGTATTTTTGGCTCATCAATGGGAGGAGAAAATCATGGATTCAGATAGAGCATAAACTTCAGTTAAATACACGTTTTGACAACATTACTGAATATACATCCCAGCAGATTACACCAGCAAACAGTGATTTAATTGAAGCAATTATTGTGGATGTGTATCCTTTTGGGAATATAAAACTTCTGATTTGGCATATGTATCTGAAGAAGCAGGAATAGGGAGAGGGAAGAAAACTAAGAGATTTTACCTAAAAGGGGGAGTTTTCTGAGTATTTATACCTTAAACCATTTTTTTCATTAAACTACTTAGAGACCTACCCTTTAGTGTTTGAAATGGAAATCATCCTTTTAAGATCCTATTTTATCATTCATTTTTATTTGTACAGAGTTGCCCAAGAACGCTGTACTGTGATGTGCTATGGTTTACTCTTCCTTCACAAACAACAGAATTATTGGATTTTGAAAGCTGACATGGAGGAAGAAGGAAAAAAAGGAAATTTTATACCTCCTCATTTTGACATGGCTCCTTCAGAAATCTGATCCCAAATATCTTCCTGCATCTGGAGGAGGGAAGAAAGAGACCATGCAGGCATTCTGTACATAATGCTGAAATAAAACCCTCTATTGTCCACCAAGACAATAGAACTAGTCTATAATCATGTAGTACAAGTAGAGCATAAACTACACGGGCCAGCAATGCAATCTTTGTTCCAGTGTAATCTTCCATAGCAACCATCGACAATCCCCAGAGGTAAGAGAAAGGCCTTTCTCCTGTTTCCCATGCATAAGTCGCCAACCTTCTTCCTCTCTCCGTGCTCTGTAGGAAGCAGTGTAATAGGGCTCCCCTTGGGGATGGCTAAACATGTTTGACAACATAGGAACTGTCCTAAATATTGGTCAAAGTCTCAAACTAAGCCCGAACTATTTGTATGGGTACACAGAATGAGTTCGCTCCATCATCTGTTTCAAAGTCTGTAGGTGTTTACTTTGGTGGGAAGAGAAGTAGAAATACTGAGAAGTTAGATGTGGGGTGCTCACTTTGTGTTCACAATCAAAGTGCTACTTGGAAAGATATCATTTCAACTTCTGTTGAGAAAGATAGCATCTTTCTGTAGGAGTGGGAGGTGAAAACACCACCCAAGACTTAAGCAAATCAAAATATCCAAGAACGTCAGGAGGAAGACAGGAGCACTGACTGAGCACACTGAAGCCAACACAGAGCATTGTTCACTAATGGTTCAGCACTATTTTGCACTGTGAGAGGTACCGGGGGACTGGGGCAGTGATGACTAAGATGGGCGAGCTGCCGTCTGCATAGTGCTTTGATTCATAGTGGGCATTCTGCCCAAATGCACAAATGATAAATATCTCCTGGTATTTTTCCTGAGCCTAACCAAATCTGAGCCTCTAAAATTGCTTGAGTTTGTCCATCATTAATCTTGCTGAAACCTATGACTTCAAGTTATATGCAAGAGTCAAAAACAATTAATTCCCAAAACATGTCATGCCTTTTTGCAACCATAAAATCAATCTTTTGTTTAAGAGAAAATTCAATCTGTTGAATTTTTTTATAAATGAGAGAAATTAGTCTCTAAAGATAAAGGGAAGACCATTCAGAATTGTGAAAGCAATCAAATAGGACAATTGCATATTGAAAAAAAAAGATTTAAAGGGCTCTGGAAGAAACTGGTTTATGCTGTTATTTTTGCTTTCCTGGAGAACAAAAGAGAAAGAAAGGGTCACAGAGTTCATAGCTTCTTGACACCCTACCCTCCTCACACTGGGAAAGGCTGATCCCACATCCTTCTTATACATCTTTGATTGTGGTACATCTCAGTGTCTGTCACATAGAGATGTTCAATACTACTTATAAAGGACCTATTATTGGTGTAGAGGATATACCAGTGAATAAAAACAAGTACCCTGATCTTACAAACCTATCACCTACAGTGGAGACATACAATAGATATATAAATATTTGACTGAAAGAATATTCAAAAGAAAAAAGCACAGTAAATGGAGAAATTTGTGGAATTGTAAAATTGTAGAGTGGCTTTTTTATATAGAGACATCAGGAAAGGCCTCTTTGGTCAGGGGACATTTCAGAGAAACCTGAATGATGTGAGGAAACATGCTAGGCTGGAATCCGGGAACAATGGCTTTAGACAGAATAAAGAGCAAGTGCAAAGGCCCTGGGGTAGGTATGTGTCTAGTGTTTTTAAAGCTATGAGGCCAGTGTGCCTAAAACAGAGCAGGCAAGGGCAGATTGGGAGTGGGAGGAGAAGAGATCACAGAGGTGAAAAGAAGAGGGGAGTAGTGAGATTATCAATGAGTGTTTTCGGCAACATTAAGGAGTTTGAATTTCATGCTGAATGAAATGGGTAATTTTCTTCAGGGTGGAAAATGAAGCTGAGAGGAGGACATCTATATTTTGAAAATGATCTTGAACAAAGAGAAAGGTTTATACCAAGAAAGTTTTGGTTAGATGTGCAAAATATTTGGATTTTAAGACATTTAATCATTGGACAAGTTTATCAAAGAACAATAATAAATCTCATTCGCTAGAGATATTTAGGAAAAACCATGTTTATTTGACATAACCTACATCTAGAAAAAAGGATCAATGTGCTTTCCCCTCCAGCCATTTAAACTAATCCACAGTCAATTTGATTAACCACATAATCAAATGGATTTAGTAATTAAGACCACCAGGAAAACTGGAATATGTTCAGCTCTTCAGTCTATTATTTTTCATCAGTAGGTACTCCCCAGAGGAAGTCTCCCTTGACTGTCTCTAGGACAGTGGTTCTGCTCTATTTGGCCCATGAACAACTTCAGTAGATCTTTAGTTATTTATTCTAGAAAAAAATTTTTTTTGAGAAAATACCACCAGGGGCTAGACTTATAGGCAAATTGGGATAATGCATGATTTAATATCAAATGGATATTTTAAAAATATTATCCCAATACTCATCTTAGTGGGAATGCAGAGAAATGAATTCTCTTTTCTTAAATATTGCATACAAACCAGGTTCTTAACCAGTTACCTTTTAGTGCTCAATAAGAAAATTCTGCTAAAAAAATTTGGTAAAGTTTTCCCTGTTATTCTGTGTTTTTTGTTTTGTTTTGTTTGACTACTTTCTTCTTCACTTTTTCCAAGCCTCAATTTGTAGATGGCATGGTAAAGTGTTTAAAATTTAGATAATAAAATAAAGCATTCCCATAAAGAGCACTGGGCTGAACATTTTCATTGTGAGAATTCAGATCCCTGTGATCTTCAGCTGAAGACCATCATGCCATTTTCCCAAGATACTCAACTATAATAGTTTTATCTTAGTAAGGAATGTTTTTTTTCTCTCAAAGGCACTGGAAATGGGATCAATTCACACTGATCCTGTGATATTTTGGTGGCCTTTATACATTAGTGACAATTAGTTGCCAAACTAATGGACCCCACACTTCATGTGGCTCTGTGGCCTTATGAACATGTTGTAAACCATCATGCTACATATAACTAGCCCAAAGGCTGTGTGAGGGACCTCTTAGGCCAGCTGAGACTTAGGGCAGGGCCACCAGGCTGAAGATGTGTGGGAGTCCTGCCTCAGGCTCCTATTCTAGCTCTCGCTCTCGTCCCAGCCATCACCGAGACCACCGGGTTGTTCTCTTCCTCATTCCTGTGACTCATTGCTTAAGAGGCTCTTTTATCCTTTGCAGAGCACATGCCCATAGAAGTAAAGGATTAATATGTGTTTGTTGGTTCTGCTTTCTGTTTGTTCTGAACAATGATGATGGATGCTCTAGTTGCTTTTAGAGACTGGATTAAGGAGTTAGATGGTGCTTATGTGCTTGTCAACCAAGGCTTTCAAAAAACAACATGTGTCCTGTGTTGAGAATGGTCACCCTTCCCCCTGGGCCCAGGCAGAAGAGCCACACAGTCCTGCTCACCCTGCTCTTCTTCCCCGGTCCCAGGCTCCTCCAACAACATGCTTTGTAAACTTAAAATCTGTTCAGAGTAGGGCCATTAGCATTCATTTCTGCCATTACAAACCAAGGTCTCATGTTTGCAAAGTGTGAAGTCAGTCCTGGAAAGGGAGAATGAAGGATGTCTCTAGTCCATGTATAGGAATTTCTGGCAGATCCCTAAGCTGGATGAGATAAAGAACTGGTAAAAATTCCTTGTTGCCGTGATGAGATCTGGAATGCTTGTGCAATTCTAAGCTATCCATTTTCATTTCTAGTTCTAAGCAGTCTATTCTATCTGTCTAAGCCCATCCACAAATACACTCCCTCCTTTCCCTTTCCATGGACCTGTCGTTACACACTCAGAACACATGTTCAGCACTGAGTGCAGGTATATTCATGCAAGTCTGAGAAGTTCTGGATGAGATCAGGTAGAAGAGTCATGCCAAGATGTAATATCAGTTATTGTAGCATTAAGATGTTTTAGAAACACCAGTGCTTATGTCAGTGATATCTGGGCCTAATGATAATGACAGGCTTTATACGGTGGCAGAGATACAGCATCCAACATGCAGAAAACAGTTGTGAAGGGGTGGAGAGAGGACAGGATGCATCACCAGTTGAGACACACTGCACAGAGGGTAGTGCACAAATGCAAATAAAAGTTGGGGTGCTGGTCCATACTTAGGACTTAGATGTGGAAAGAGCCCCTTTGCTGGCTTGCCTTCAGGGCAGCCTTGAAGCTGGTCAGAGCACTAGTCTCAGAGCAGCCCTCAGCAACTATATAGCTATTCAACCTCAGAGTGAAACTATTACCATGGCTGTTGCCCCAGAATCATATCCCTGCCCCTCCCTCAAATGGAAACCAATTACTCTTATCGAAGTTTTAGGATGAAGCTACAAAAAACAAGAACTGGTTGGAACCAACTTGGCCCAAAGTGGTGGAGGATTTGACTTCTAGTTGACCTTTAGCTACATTTTACGCTCATTGGAATACATTAGCATGCTAAATGACACACTCGCCAGTGCCATGACAGCTGGAAATTGCCATGACAACAACCCCAAAAACCCACACAAAAACTGAAAAGGAGAGTTGCATTAGTTCCTGGTCCAAACCATACCCCTGTTCTCCGATAAGTTGTGAATACTCCTCCCACTCTTTCCAGTTCCCTCCCTTTTACCTCAACCCTTCTCTATACTTGGTGTCTCTGCCCAAATCGGCCTAATTGGGTTGAGAAGTTGATTCGAGAACTAAGCTCCTGCTTCTCCATTCTTTGGCCATTGAATAAAGCTTGTGCTGTCCCAGTCTTAGCGTTAATTCCATTATTGCCTGTGCAAATTCATTTGGAAAAAGAACCTCCCTGGCTGAGACAAGGGGTCTCCACCTGGGCTAGGACCCCAGCGAGGGTCCAGTTGACCATTTCGGTAACAAAATGAGGGGGCTCCCTAGGATGGCCTCTATGTCTTTTCAAGGTCATGGCCTTCAACTGCCTTTTCCCATCACTACTTCCCAGAAGAACCACATCCCAGGTCCTTTCTCCTTTCTCCAGACTCAGTTTCTTACCCCCACTGCGTGGCAACATGGAGGTGGGGTGGGATGGCAGGAAGGAGAGGAAGGGAAGGAGCCCCTCAGATTGTTTTCTAAAATCATTTCCTCTGGAACTGTTATCCAGACAATAATATTTGCAGTGGGAGCATCTAGAGTTCCTCCTTTGGAGAGCAGAAGGCAGCGTGGTAGCTCTGAGTGGAATCGTCCCGAAGCAACTGCTGAGCTCCAAAGTTTGCAATAGGGAGGGAGGGACTGGCTCCGTTGAAAAACACATTTCCTGTTAATAAAAGCTGCCTTATACTGAGTGTCTAGCAGGAGTTATTTAATTTAATCAGCCTAATAGTTCTATGATGTAGATATTATTAACTCTATTTTATACATTGGGAAATTGGGATGCAAGAGGCTTAAATAATTTATCCAAGGTCACACCGCTAGAAGTCAAAGAACAAGCATTCAAAGTGAGGGCTCTGTGTGTTTACAATTCACGTCCTTTCCACTATGTGACTGACCTCTTGCTTCATACTTCTCTGAGGGATATGGTAGAATAATTCAATAACCTAGTGATTCCAAATTTTGAGGCATAAAGAGAGTCATCTTTCCACAGTATGCACACTTGGGATTCTATGGCCATGGGTAGGTCCATTTTTGATGAAAAGAAATTCCTCCCTGCCACCAAGAAGCTCTAAGCTAGTCCATCTCCCCCCAGTGGCATGGGAGGAAGTTGGCGTTGTTGGTGACCTTCCTGTAGTGACACGTGCCTGTTAAACACAGACCCTGAGGGGAGACTGGCTGACAGATAACTCCTCTGTGACTCAGCCCCTTCCTCATTACATAAAGGCAGAAGCACAGACAAGCCCCCCAGTTCCCACGTATTATGGCACCAGGGGGATAACCCGACCTGAATCTGGACTCCCACCTTCCCGAGAGAAGCACCTGGGAAGGCAATTAGCACAACACATTCTCAGCGCCCAGCAAAGGCCACACTGTGGAGAAAATAACCATTCTTCCTGAAGCAGATGAAACTTGAACCTTTTATTTCAGGATACTAATCACCCAGTAAACAGGCTCTTTTATGCTAACATCTGTGTGAGGTCGACTTCCCACACCGCCTCCTTCCTGCCTGCCTGTTCTCACTGAAATCCCAGCAGCATCTCGGGGGCCACCTTAGCCCTGGAGGGCCCTCCCTACTCTCTCTCCTCTCCCCGCCCTCTGCCCCCAACGCTGTCCCAGCGCCGATGCCACGTTCCACAGAAGCTTGGGCTCAGGGACTTGTATTCCTTGTGGGGCCAAACCGCCCCCTTGGTGCGCGGTATCCACAGGCTGCCTTGGCAGCTGCAGTCTCTTTCAGTGGTCTCCATAGAATTTTCCTAGATTCCAGAGTTTCCTACCCCTGCTGGTTCATGGTTCATTCGCTGGCAGCACTGATTTTAGAATAACTCTTGGTTTGCTCTAAGTTTCTTCCTTGCCGAATCTAGGCCAGTTCATGAAGCAGTTCACACACACTGGTGCCAGATTTATAAAGTGCAAATTGAATTCTGCCCTCGGCCTCCTCTGCCCAACTCCCACAACTTTCCTATTGTAGCTTCTCTTAAAGCATGGCCACGTTTCCCTTCTAAAGCTCTAGTAAATCCTGCCAGATTAACAAATGGGGGTGGGGGTGATTACTTACGCACTTCATGTGTAGGCTATAAACAGTGCCTGTTCTGTGAGATCTTCCTGACAGTGTTCCTGTGGAGCCAGAGGAGTCATCATGCTCCAGGTTTTATAAGAGGAAAAGCAGAGACCATTCCTTTTCTTTCCACTGCCAAAAACCAAACCAAACCAAAACAAAACAAAAAACAAACCCCAAATGAAGTGAATTGAAAGTGAAGTCCGAGGGGCAGAGCACTCCTGTCATTCAGCTCCATACTGGGTGATGTGCTGGTTTTCACTCCCCTCGGCCCCTCCATCGCATCTCACAGGCACAGACTTATTACTCCATTAGGGTCTGGCTGGGGAGCTGAAGGGACAATGAGAACAGATGAATCTGGTGAGACTGCCAGAGTTAAAAACCTCTCGTGGGCAATAAAACCAGACAGCATTTTTGATGGACCACATTTTCATTGCATTTAAACAGACTTGGAAAGCTTCCATGGCTGCTGATTTCCAATAAGAAAATATCCTGTTGGGAAGTGGGGCAAAGATGCATCCTTCGGGCTGGCCTTTAACACACGTGGGCCCAGTGTAGGTGTAAAAATGGAGGCCCACATGCCATATGCTGAAATACTTAAAAGTTAGGATAAAAGCTTGAAAATACATAGGTAAAACAGAATATGTTCTATCATCCCTCCATGATAAACGTACTTTTATTGATAATCTATGGGCTGGGTTCAAATATAGATTTCTCTGGCACCTTGGATTTTCATTCTGGAACACACTGCCCAACCCCCTCCACTTGGTCCCAGATCCACCCCCTTCTCTCCACATTCTGGCTCCAGACTGCAATGTGTGTGGGCTCTCAAACTCATGTGGGACACTCCACCTCCTGTGTCCAAGTTCCCATGACACTCCCACCATCAGCCCTCCACGGCCACTCCTTGGCCTAGAGGTGTGCCTGCACTCCGGTGGACAGACCCAAGAAAGAGGCCTCACACAGATCATGAAAACTGACTCTGGCTGGTTGGAAAGGGAATTTCAGGGTCCTGAGAAACCAAAGCATGGCTGAGAGTGTGTAGGAGGGAGGATACCTCTGGCCCCATGGACTCTTCTTCCCTTTAAGGAAGGCCAGACAGGGCTTTATAAGATGCAGGGCACAGAGCATTCAGCTCTCTTGCTTGGATTTATGGATAGTATATATAAAGTAGGTCCTTTATGAGAGGACATTTCCCTGAGGAAGTGGATACTTGCTACAGTGTCCACTACAGTATGGCAGATGGAGGTACTGAGGATAATGTGCTCTTTGCTTCATATGGATACAGAGAATAGATGTCTACTTCTGATGGTTCTCAATCATGGATGCACAGTGACATCACTTGAGGAAGCTTCCTCATGGCTTCACATATAGAGCTTCTGATTTAATTTGTTTAGGTTGGGGTCCAGGCACAAGTATTTTTGAAAAGCTCCCGGGTGAGTCTATGTGCAGCCAGGATTGAGAACCACTGGATTCAGACTAATGATTTGCCTCTCATACCCCAGGACGTTAGCCCTTATGCCTACTCCTACGAAGTCAAAACTGCCATGGCTTAGGAGATGTTTGTCTCCAGAAGAATAGGGACCGTGTGCTGGGTCTGTCTGGATTGATGACGGTTACTCACTGGCTTACTCACTGCTCCAAGCACAGAGCTGATTGTCAACTACAGCACAGCAGGCAGCTTTTCATAGCATTTCTGGTTAGCATAAACTGAGTTCTTTAGTCTCTAATGTTGGCCTAAGCCAGAACACCCTACCAAATGGATCACCTAGTTTAAGTCTACGCAAATGCACGGAGGGAAACAACAGTTTAGAGCCTCCATCTGAATGACATTTATTTCTTAGCTGAGTAGTCAGCATTTTAATTCTGAAGTTCATGCATAAATTCTGACATATACTCAGCTGTGCGTACTCTTGAGTCACACTCGAGTCTGGCAAATCTGAGACTCATGGATTTTAAGGTTGTAGCTACAATGCGACCCATGTACCTTTAAGTATCTGATACTTGCACAGTGTATATTTAGAATGACAAAATCACAAGCCAGAATAGGACCTTTCACTGCCATCTAGTCTACCTCTGTTTCTGGGAAAGTCTGCATTTAAGCCATCCCACAGACAAAACTTCCCGGCTTGGAATACAATTTCTTTCTCTGCTCAGCAGGGGAGCCTTCTATTCAAAACCCAGGTCAAGGCCTGTCTTTGTGGCAAAGTAATTCATTGAAAATCTCTCTCCTCAGCAGGGTAAATTCAGGTTCTGGGGAATGGAATTTTATATAATATAAGGAGTTCCCTTTACAATAAAGAACACAGAATTAGGTACCAAAGTGAATATTCATTTAGGATGAGAAAATAAATCACAGTGAACTTGGAGATTTAGGTCCCTTTAGGCAACTTTGCAGACACGCTTGCATAGACTGCTTCCTGGTTGCAACCTGGCTTTCCCACCCCACGTTGGAAACTCCATAAAGTCTATCAGATCCCAGCACCGACTGGGTAAATCTGCTTCTGCTCTTCTGCAGATATGTATGGATATTATTTATTTGCTGATTTCTCTTTTTATGTGCCTCCTCGGTCCCAAAGTATTTGAAGGAGAGAATCTTGCTCTCTGTTTACATTCCAGCGACGTAGCACGAGCTGCTTTTGCACACAGGTTCATTTTCCTCACCTCTGCTGTTTCTCACCTATCCTGGCTCAACTGCACTTGTGACCTGGTAAAATCCTACTTACTCTTTAATACTTCTCAGGATCCCTGTAGACCAATGATTCTCATCTGGGGGTGATTTTATCTGGCAATATCTGGAGACACTTTTGATCATCACAACTAGGGTGGGGTGGGTTGTGGGGTGGGGAGGCAGAGGGTGGTGCTATTAGCATTTAGTGGGCAGAGGCAAGGATGCTGCGACAGGACAGTTTCTCACAAATAGCGAAGAGTTATCCTGACCTAAATGTCAATAGTGCTGAAACTGAGAAACCCTGCTCCATCCTAGTTGAGTACATTTCCTCTCTGTGCTTCCAGAGCCCTACACACAGATTCTTCATTTGTGCTTAACATGTTGGTCACAAGCACCTGCACACATGCCTATTTCCCTGATTGGATGGTGAGTCCTGCCAAGGCCACTTTTGTGTTTCGGTCACCTTCCTATCCCCCAGTCTAACATTGCTTGGCAACAGTAGATGATCACAATGGTCCTGGAAAGGATAAACACTTCTACTTTTACCTGAATCATACAGTTTAGCAAGTTTATCACATATTGTTTTAAAATACTTCCCATATGTAAATTTTATCTCTTCAGCAAGACTGTAAGCTTCTTGAAAGAAAATATCTTACACTTTTTCTCTATTTCTCCACATACTTTTTCAAAGCTAAGCACATAATAGATGCCCAATAATTATTTGTGGTCGATTGGCTATCTGCCAGATCTTGCAGACCTCTGTAGAGGTTAGAGTCATAGATTGATCAAGATAGAATGGATTTAATAGGGGCAGGTTCTTCATGGAGGTGTGCTCAAAACTGATTTTTGAAGAAGCAAAGAAGGAATATTGATTGGAAAGGAGAGACTTTGTATAGCAGAATAGGAAATTAGAAGTAGGTGTTTAATGATGCTTCTTAATTTATTAAGAGAAATATGATTTTATAATAAATATCTTTACTGAAATATAATTCACTGAGTATAGGAACATCTTTAGATTCATTAAATGAGCCACTTTTTGTTAAGACTTTCAAAAGCAGTGTTGTGATTTTAAAAGTAATTATAGTGATATATGATTATCAGTGAATGTGTAGGTATCCCAAATGTTTCCATGTAGAGAGCAAAACAAAAAAAAAAAGAAAGAAAAAAGAAAAATGAATGGACAAGTGATTGCAGTGAATCAAAATGGCAAAAACTCCTTAGGGTCTTGGTAACTCTCCAAATAATGATGCTCCAGAGAATGGTGGCTCTTCCTGTCTGTACAGGCCTTTTAGTGTGTGACAGAATGGTTTACAGGCTCTAGATTTTCATGTCCATGAATTCCATTCATTTCTGTTTGGTGACTGGGAAGGTGGTGAGATGTCATAAAGTGGGAAATGAGCTCCTCTTACACAGCATCTTTCTCCCAGATGCTTAACAGGTGAAAAGCCACAAGACATGGAGGCTGCAAGAAGTCCTGATGGTTTTAAAAATTACACAAGCACTGGAACATCTGTCCCAAGTCTGGTGGGATGGTAACAAGCCGGCAGAGATGATCACAGCCTTTCACAGATTCCTTATGCTGAGCCCAGTTAAGCCAAATGCTGCATCTCGCCTCTGCTACTAGGGGTTTATAGAATATCCTGGAATCTAAGGATGTCAGAGGGCAGTGGGGGAGGAGCATCCTAAACTCAAGACTTCCTTAATTTAGATACAGGCTAACTCCTCTACCTTATCACTTTCTTATAGATTGTCCTGGTGGACAAGAGCCAATTTTATTCTCACTTTACCTTCCAGGCTGTGTTGAGTAATTATTACATGTTACTTCTATTGTCTGATAGCCTGGATGTCTCTCGTTTCTCCTCTCCCAGTGCACAAAGCAGTATGGGTCACATGGCAGAAACGAAATAAGTATATTTTGATATTTGTTTATTTACTTATTGCTGCAATAAGCTTTATTGTTTCCATTTGGTCCAAAGCTTGGGAGAGGGCTCTAGGGTGGTTAAAAAGCCGCCCCGTGGCTGCAGAAAGAGGCTTTAGGCAGAAGCCCTGACACCTGAGGGGCTCCTCAAAGGACGCCGGGTTCCAGAGGCTCCTAGTTGTGCTTGCGGGTGAGCCTTTCGAAGAGACACTCACCCAGCCCAGTCTGGGCACTAGTGAGCCTGCGGGGGTTAGTCACATGGTTGTCCATCTTCTTGATGAGTTTCACCTGCTCATCCAAGAAGCGGCTCTCCCAGAAGTCACAGAGGTGGGGGTCTGCGTGGGCAGAACCCAGGGCATGCAGATTGAAAAGGGCCTGGTTCAGGTTCTTGTCCATGAGCACGGCGGCTTCCACAGCATCCTGAGTTGTACCCGACTCGTCTTGGGACAGCTTCTGCACTTCTTGGGAGAGGGCGCAGCTGCCGCCCTGGTTTAGCTTTTTCAAGAGACCAGTCCATGAATTGGCACTTGTCTTTGACCAATTCAGGGGAAAAAGTGAACCACACTCTCCAGAGCCACATCGTCATGATCGAAAAAGAAGCCCAGGGAGAGGTAGGTGTAGGAGGCACGCAGGTGCACATTGAAACCGCGGTTGACAGGGGCCTCCACCTCGGTGGAATAATTCTGACGAATCTGGGAGCTCATGGTTGATGCGTAATAAGGAGCAAAGCTCAGTGAATGGTGTTGGC